GGCTCTAATGCTGGGAAAAGTGGAAGAAAAGAGAAGAAGAGGAAGACCAGTAGCAAGGTGGATGGATTCAGTTAAAGTGGCAATGGGTACACCATTGGAAGGTCTAAAGGAGCAAGTTAGGGACAAATCATCATGGAGAAAATCTGTAGGGTCATTAAGAGTTGATAACAACTTGAAGACACATAATCAAAAAACCAAATAATAAACTATGTTTGGCTTGGAAACATCCTCACAGATGTTGACCCTAACACTAGAACTTGATCAATTATCAGTTTTACAGAAGGGTTGCTTTTGGAGGGTACATATATAATCAAAGCACAATCACCATTCACCCAGATGACCAGTCCCATTTAATTCAGGTTCTCCTTCCACCATATGCCTTTCTCCCCCATTCTTTGGCAGTTGTGAAATCCAGGTGTCATCCCTCAAGGAGTCATCAGGATTTTGCATCAGTTTACTAGGTTATATATTTATTTTGCTTCCAGGTGTTTTCTTTGAAAGCTTTGTAGATGTTCACCAGACCTAAATGCTATTTGCATTTATAATTTCTTCTTCTCAGAATGAATAATAAATGTCCTAGTCATCTCCTGTATAGACTATTGCAATGCACTTTACACAGGGCTACTCTTGAAGAGTATCCAGAAGCTACGGCTGGTGCAAAATGCAGCCGCGCAGGCAAATTTGGGTGCCCCAAGGATGGCACATGTAACACCTTTGCTGCAGGAGCTGCATTGGGTGCCAGTTTGCTTCTGGGCCCAATTCAAGGTGTTAGTTATTACCTTTAAAGCCCCACATGGCATGGGACCAGGCTACCCGAGGGACTGTCTCATCCCCATTACGTCAACCTGTCCCACCCTGTTGTGGACCCTGTCTATGAAGGAATGACAATTGGCGGGGCCCAGGATGAGAGCCTTCTCTGCCATTGCCCCTGCCCTGTGGAACACTCTTCCTCCAGAGATGAGGCAGGCCTCCACTTTCCTGGCCTTCCGGAAAGGGGTGAAGACTTGGCTTTGCCAACTCGCATGGGGCAAGAGGAGATAACAATCAACCCTGGGGGTGGTTGGCCCCTTAAAGATGCTCCCCTTGAAGATGCTCCCTGAGTCTACTCTTAGTTAACATCAGCTGCTTGGATGCTGTTTATTATTCATATAGGAACCTTTTGTAATGTTTTAAATTATTTATTTTAATTAATATTTATTTTTTACTGTAAACTGCCCAGAGTTGTTCTACAGTGAGATGGGTGGTGACAAATTTGAAATATAAACAAATAGCAATACATTAAATGATGTGAGGAAAGTGACCTTTTTTACTCTTCCCAATTTTTTTTAATTCTTATTTAAAGCATCAGATAATTTTTTCTTTATTTTTTAAAAAATAAATATATAGTAGTATATATAGAAAAGAAAATATAATCAGTTATAT